TTTCTGAGACACCATCTCCTGTCTTCCCAGATTTTTCCTGTGGTACTTTAGGGTCCTCGGGATCCTTCTTCTCTGCTGTGGGGAAGAAAATTTACAGACCTACACTTAGTCTCTTTCAGCCCAAGAACCAACAACCCTTTCTCCTGCTCTCCTTCCTCTAAGCAAAGGACCTGATTAGCAGCATTTTGGAAATGCAGTACACACAGATGGGGAGAGACTCACCTGTATCCAAGCCGTTGTCTTTCTGGGATGTTTCTGAGACACCATCTCCTGTCTTCCCAGATTTTTCCTGTGGTACTTTAGGGTCCTCGGGATCCTTCTCTACTGTGGGGAAGAAAATTTACAGACCTACACTTAGTCTCTTTCAGCCCAAGAACCAACAACCCTTTCTCCTGCTCTCCTTCCTCTAAGCAAAGGACCTGGTTAGCAGCATTTTGGAAATGCAGTACAGACAGAAGGGGAGAGACTCACCTGTATCCAAGCCATTGTCTTTCTGGGATGTTTCTGAGACACCATCTCCTGTCTTCCCTGATTCTTCCTCTAATTCTTCAGTTTTCTGAGGAACCTTTTTCCCTACTGTGGAGCCATCTGAATTCAACATTGTTTTTTTTCCTTCACCGGCAGTTGGTGTTTTATACACCAAAGAGTCCTCCTCTGGTTTGGAGGTGGTCTCACAGGATCTGCTTGTCACTTGGTTCTCACACGTTTCTTGGGTAGCCTCTTGGTGCACAGGAATCTCTGCTGTGCTTTTCACCTCACCTTGGGCTTGCCCAGCTGTTGGGATGAGAGTTCAGAAGCTCAGCTCGCTGTACAGGAGTCAAGAATATGCAGTGCTTGACCAACACCCTGTAAAACTCCCAGTTCTTTTATCTCAGAAAAATCTACTCCCAGTGAGATGGGGGAGAGAATAGGGTGACCAAAATTGAGAAAACTCATGGGAGTTTTCTCAAAGACAGCCGAATAGGTGAAAAAAAACAGGGGAAACCCCAAGTGATGCAAAGGCAATCGCTCCCCGCTTCCTACAAGCAGACTGATGCCAGGCCAGTCTCTGAGCAACGGCCACCTTAGAAGCCAACCTTTCTTCCTGTACCCCAGTTTTTGTTGCTGAGTGTGATGTTACACTGTTTGTAATATCCCTTTGCCCACCCTGGGCCCTCACCCAATCTTCTGCCAACTCCAGATTGGTTTGCTTGGCAGGGGGAGAAAAGAGAAAGCCTTGACTCTGCACCAGCACTGTTCAGCAATCACCAAAACACTCCTCTGTTATCAATGCTTTCTTTTTTTTTTAAAACCCCAAAACACAGCACTGTACAGGCTGCTAAGAGGAAAGTTAATTCAATCCCAGCCTATGTCCCACGCCGTCCTATGGGGGGTGGGCAGGCAATTCTTTCCTTAAGCGGTAGGATATGGTGCCCACATCTTCCTTGGATGGTGGGTTTTCCTAGGCTGGTAAATTAAGGTGATGGATTTGAAGAATTTCTAAGGCTGTAGTTGAGTTCCAGCCAGAACAGTTACACCAACGCACTTCAAGCATCTGTCTGCATGTAAATGTTAACTCTGCTCATGCTCCTTCTCTGCTCCTGTTCTGGAGCTGCTCTCCCAAAGGTGATGCAGAATTAAGAGGAAACACTGGAGCATAACTCAATAGGGAAATTCTGAGGCTGGACATAAGCGTTTGCAACATATTCTAAATCTTAAAAAATCAAACAGCGAAGCTCAGATTTCAGGCGCTACTTGTGAAAAATCGCTTATGAGTGATCAAGCAATACAATGACAGAAATTATTATGCTAGAATTAGAATAAAGACTGATAAAAATGGCAAGGAACTCCCTACTAATTAGAAAACCGAAAAAGCTGCACTTGTCACGTGTCAGAACATGCTGTCCTTTGGAGGATAATTTTTACATTCCTTGTTGCTGATTATTATGGGAACACTTCTGGCCGCCTGGGACACATCTGAGCTGGTTATAGCAACATGGTATCACTGAAATACTCGGATGTAGTAGTCATAACAAGGCAGCTGGAGAATGTAAGCACGCAGTAGAAACTAAAATGTGAGGAACCTGGAGGTATCCTGCTATTCAAGCCAGGCACAAATAGTACTTCTTGCCCTGCCTCCTCCAAAGGTTTCCCATCAGTAGGTGGTGGAAAACTGGCTGATTATTTAAGCATCTGTAGATGGGAAGCACTGGGATGCAGGGAAGAAAGCTCTCCCAGTCTGGAGCTCCATCTTTAGCTTTCCCTGTGCTGCCATCCTAGGCACAGAGACTAAACCTGTTGCAGATGGGAATCCAAAACTGAAAGTTGTTAATCTTTCCCCTTTAGACAAAGATAGCAACTTGCTTTACTTGGCCTCAAAAAGAGGGTATTCTTTTATTTTTTATTTTTACCCCTTTTATCCCTATGCAAAGGGATTTTCCTAGTAGATGGAGTAAGCACAGGATTCACTTACCTCCAGACAGATCCATGCTAGGATTCTCTTCCATTTTCTTTCTTTCTGAGAGCTCTGGCTTCTGCATCTTTTTGTTTCACTTTCTCTTTCAGTCATAAGGGGATGTATCTCCCTGCTGTTCAGGTGGCTGACCTGAAGACCCCCCTCACAGACACCATCTCGTCTTGGCCTCCAGAATTGTGACTAAACACCCATAAACCTGACAAACAAAAACACAGGACCGGTGATTTATGGTGGAGGAGGAGGCGGCTCCTCTCTCCATGCTTACCAAGGTGGTGTGAAAATGGAAGGATGTCCTTGATAACTGTGAACCTTCAGCCCAAGGGCTAGTTTGCTTCCTGGCAGGCTAGAAGCAGTCCAAGGGCTAACGCAAACCACAGCTGTCCCAGGACAAGCCAGTGGAGTGAGGCACCAGTTTCTCATCCAGATAGACTTGGGTGGACTTGGCTGTGCTCTGAGATGTCAGGGGCTCGGGCAGGCTGCCCCGCATGCTTCTGGGCACCTGGTACCTCACAGCCAGGTTGACACAGAGCAATGAGCCTCCTCTAGTGTGTCGGAGGGGGAGATGGCAGTGCTGGAAGGCGAAATCACTGGCAGAAACACCACTCAGCCCCTGTGCAGCAGCATCCCCCCCACCACCACAACCCTGTGCCCATCCGAGGGGACAAGCGAGGTCCCCTTGGACACAGCCCGATGCTCCTACACACCCTCCACTGATACTTCCACCTCTGCTAAAGAGGTTTGGAACCGGTCGGCCACGCAGGATGGAGCAAGTCTTGCCGTCGTAATCTGAAAGAGCTGGTGGCTTTCAGGAGCACAATGGAAAACTAGGCGGCACGGAAAACTCCCGAGAAACTTCCCCCGCTGGAGAGCGGTGGGTGCAGATTTCCATACAAAAATCTCGAGCCCAGCCTTCTCAGCAGGGAAGGGGGCATGGGGAGGGGGGGGACGGACACCTTCCCCCCCACCCGCACTGTCTCTACAGCTGAGTTTTCTTGCCAAAGACAAGATTTGGAGGTGCGGGGGAGTGTAATTTCTTGTGCTCTGCCGCCTGGCTCTCATCCCTCCCCTCCCTGTGCTGTTCCTGCTCATGACGCTCCGGCAGAAGAAGGAAGTCAGAGGAACAGAAGTGAGTTGGGGAGTCGGACGCTTACCCAGTCTTGGAGGTTTGGAGCCAGTCGGGGCGACCAAGTGAAGCAGAGGGGGCCAGTGCTGGCCCCTCTGCTTGCCCTTCCCAGAGGCCCTCAGGCTCTGCTGGTGGCAGGACAGCCTGTGCCCCCAACGCACACCCTTAATCCTCCGCTGTCAACGTGACAGTGAACTCTGCCCTTCCACGGGCACCCGGCAGGCTGCTGGGAGGTGTAGTTTTCCTGCTTTCCTCCTCGCCACGTCCGTCCCACGGACGGCTTTTCCCCAGTCAACAGCAGTGGTTCTTAGGGAGCATTCAGGAAACGGTAACTTCTTTTTTTTTGGCTGTATTTCTGCGGTCGTGCGGAGTTTTCCTCCAGGCAAACTGGAACGACCGGCAGTTTCCTGCGTAACGTAGCGGCGTTGCAGATTTGAAACCACGAAATGAGGGTGAGGAGGGAACTGTTTTGAGAGTTGGTTTACGAAGCTGGAAAGTACCACAAGAAAAACAACCCGAACACGCCACCAGCAAAGCCCAGACTCTGGAAATGTCACACTGTGCAAGTGCGGGGAGGCTGGGGAGCTGGGAAATGGGGTGTCTTTAGCATCAGCCTGCAGGGCAAGGGATGGGGAGCCCCCCCCAGTGCTCCCCTATCAGCGTGGTCCACAGGCTGCAACAGGGGGAAGGTCAGAGAGAGAGCTGGGTGTAGCTGCTCCCAGCCTCATTTGGGCAAAGGTTTTCCAAAAAATGATGATGGGACTTGCTGTGCCCGCACCGGGAACAGGTATGTGCCAACCCCTTCCCTGTACCCCGCTGCCCAGGATGGGTTTCACGGGAAGTGGTGGCATGGAGCAGGGCACGCCGGGGGAAAGGCGCAAGGAGCAGCAGCACAGAGACTGCAGCCCCCCTCGAACTCAGCTCAGCCTTTCCACGAACATCCCCAGGGGAGCCCAGTGACAAATGGCTGAGATAAAGCACGGGGAAAGGCAACTGGAACAGTGCTGGTAAGGAGCAGGCACTAAATGTCTGGGACTCCTCAGTTTGGAGAGTGGAAGGCTGAAAGGGGAGGGGATTTGACTGGTACGTTCACTAAAGCCCCCCGTACTGGTAAATACATACATTTTACAGTACTTGTAAAACAGGTAAGAGGTTGGGCTCAAATGGGCAGGAAAAAAAATTAGTTCTTTATGCCGTGTGCAGGAAACCTTGCTGGCACAGGAGCCACAGAGGCAGAACGTCAGAAGGTTCAGAAAAGGGTGAGTCTCGTTTGTGGACAACGGGTCCTTAAGCAGATAGTACAGGGCCAGGCAGGGCTGTACCTGTTGATGGGAGATGCTGTGTAGGTGAGGTGCATGAGCCCAGCCCCATCCTGTGCTCCGTTCCCTTGACTCTCCCACAGCGCCCAGCACTGTCCCACTGGGGGTGCTCAAGCCAAAAGGGGGCTCTGTGTGCCACCCTGTTTGTGCCCCCCCAGGTCAGGAGTGGTCGGAAGGTACCTTGCTTCCTCTCTGTCTCTCCCCAGGCCTCTAGGAGCTTCCCCCTGTTATAGTTAAAATAAAAAAAAAAAACTAAGTCCGAATTAGATTCACTAAATATTTATTAAGGTAGGAAAGCAAAAGCAGCGCTGGGCGGCCGGGGAGTCGCAGCTCCACCAAAGCTCACAAATTCAAACAACCTGAATAGCCCTTTTTATCCTCACCGAGGTCGGGTTGCCCACCTTCAGTACACCCCGCTTCTTATACCCTTATCTTTACTCCATCTGGTCTGTCTTGCTTCAAGGCGGTTTCAAGACAACGTCGACTGTAAATTAGTTCATACCCTTCCCCTTCTACCTGATTAATTAGTACAGAGTTAAAACACGGTTAACATTGGGGTTAGGCTTATCTTGTCAAAACAGGACATTCTCATGTGGTTTAGCAATATAACATTGTGGAAGTCTCTTCTTGTTAGGGAGTTCTCAAGACTGCCACAATGGGCTCGTTCTTCTTGCTTAAATTGTTTGGTGAGTAAATTACAATCCGACTTTAGGCGAGTTTTACAAGTGGTGGTGGCATAATCAGCTTGTGCCATCTCTTACATGCATTTGGTTAGTCCAAGGATAAACATTCACTTCCATAGACACATTTTGAGAGCATTGCAGTTTGTGTAAGTCAGGACTTTCTTACACTATGTATAACAGAAAAGGATAATCCTCAGATTTGATCAGCAACAAATCTTCAGTTATTCATTACACCCCTGCTCTGATGCTGGTCATACCAGGAAGGTGGGAAGGTGGGAGGTGTGCCTGGGCACAGCACGTGTAGTGATAGCAGGAAGGCACCTTCTCTCCAGCAGCACAGAAAGGCAGCAGGTTCCTCCCAGACCCACAGAGCCACCCTGCTGCCGGTGGCTGAGAGGGGACAGAGTCCACCTCCCTCCCTGGTGGATTCAGCACATTCTTTTATCATGGCCAACCTCTCAACGGGTGCAGTGGAAGCTGTAAAACTGGGGAGAACGGCAAAGGAGGAAGGAAAAAGTCCATGTGGCTTATCTACAGAGGACAAAATTTCCCCAAGGACCATGCTCTTGGTTGACAACCATCTCGCATCCCGGCCAAAGGCACATTTGACTTGGTCTGCTTCCACGCATAAGGAGCAGCCAAAGTGGACAGCAGCTGCAGGTATCAAGGGCTTCATGAAAATCAGTTTTACATCCCTGTGTCCCTTCAACCTGCCAGTCCCTTCACCAGGGCAGAGGGACCACCCTTCCTGCCAGAAGCGCAAGCGTCACGCAACCGGTGGCAGAACCACAGCGCAGCAAGTGAAAGTTGTGAGTATGTGACAAAATTTGGGGGTACCTTCAGTCTGTGCGGGTTGAGAACCCGGCTACCGAATAGCAGTTTGGCAGGAGAATTCACCGGTGGGTCTAGGGCATGAAGTCACCCACCACCACCACAACGCTGCTACCAAAAAGCATCTTCATGTTGTGTAATGTTGCTTTTCTTCCTCTAGCAGGGGATGAGCTGGGAGGTAGAATTCTAGCTTCACAAATCTGGTCTTTTTTTTTTAACTCGAGTTTGAGGGAGGGTTTTATTTAAACAGGAGTAACTTTTTCCCCTCAATCTGCAGAAGACTCAACAGTGACTAGGTGAATTATAATGGCCATGCTGTGTAACTATTGACACAATGTAATCACCCTGCAACTTTAATTGGAAATTTTACTCCTAGCTGTACTTACACCCCGTCAGAGATCACAAGCCAGTCACTGGCAGGTCTTTTCCTACTTGATTTGAACTGCACAGGCAGTTTCAAAACCTCCAGATTTATTGCATCCTTTTTTGTTTTCGCTTTTGAAAACATTGCTCAGTCTCCGCGTTTTGCTTTTACATCTCCAAAGAATGGCAGTATTTTACTCTGTTGCTGGTACAGAAGGAGGAATGCATAATTTATCTCACAAACATTCACTTGTTTATGGTGTGCTAGGATAGCATCAACATCATTTTTATTTTTGAATATATGTACAGACAAGACGGTTGCAGAAGCGAAGACCGAAGGGCACTTCCCTCACCCAGCCTTCCTGTTTGAGCGCACCGAACGTGTACACACCTACTGTTTACAACCCTGCAAAACAAATACCAAAGGTAACTCTGGAGCACTGAGATAACTGCCGTTGCAGATGTCAGTGTCACTTTCCTCAATCCTGTCTTTTTCACTATGCAGAAATGCTTTAGAGTATGTAAAAGAGCCTCTCTTTGCTTAGCAGCTCGTTTCCTAACCCGGGGAAGCCCTCGTAAGCACCTGTGCGGAGGTGACAGAGAGCGTCTGGACGCTGTTGAAGATGGAGAAAGCCAGGCACGTGCCGGTACCTCGTAGTTTCAAACCCAAGCTGTTACAGCAATTAACGATCGTACCCCGCGGGCACTTGTTACTCGGAGCGCCCAGCACTCCTTCCAACGGCTGCGAGAGAGGACCCGGGGGTTCTCGGGGAGCCGCGGGTCACCCGCGGCCGGGGGGTCCCTCCCTGCCCGCCTCGGCCCCTCAGGTGAGGGAAGGAGAAACCGCCGGCCGCGGCCGACGCGTCTCGCCCAGCCCCGGGCAGGACCGTCCGGCCCGCCTCAGCGCGGCAGCGGGCCGAGGCCCG